CAGGAAACTGAGCACAGTTCTTGCCTTCCCTGGTTATGTGCCTATAAGGCAGATCGAAAAAATAAGGAAACAAACAAATATGTGTTCTAATATTTAAAAGAACAAGTGACTCTCCTTCGGATCTCTTTTTGAAAGAACAATGGGTCCAGCCAGTGGCCTTGTGGTTAAGGCTCTGGTTCCAACATGTCTGACTGTGTAGTTTGAGTCCCAGCCCTGGCAGCCTGAGAAAAACACTTGGGTACATGTGTGTGCATGCCCAAAATCTCACAAGGGGGAGAAGTAGAGGGGAAGGATTACAGCATGACCATGTCCCATGGTTTGGGGAGGGGGGTTGTTTAACTCTCTCTCTCTCTCTCTCTCTCTGTCTCTCTCTCTCTCTCTCTCTCTCCAGCAAGCGTATGTGCCCTATGACAAATTTTTTAAAATAGAAACAAAGAAAAAATAATGAAAGCATCAGCTCCTATAGGAATTACTATCACAAACTAACTCATTGATGTGCACCGTGTTTCAAGCTGGCCCAGTTTTTCCATCAGATAGAAAAATATCCTTTTCAGTAATTTTCTCATATCAGAGCTTTTCTGAGGCAAGTGACATCTTCTCTAGGCACGTGGATGAGAATGAATAATTCTCACATATGCTTGAGCTTGTACCAGGAGGTCACAGTTTGAGTATTGTGTAAAGTGACTAATGATTGCTGGAAAATTGTTTTTTCATTAAGAAATTATCAAGAAATAATCTGATTTTTCATACTGTTGCCTCCTTCCCCGTGTTGATCTTTACTCCTAATTGAAGGAGGATGTTTTATAGCAAGACACCTCTGAACCGGCAGATGCCGCTCATTTCAATCCGGATCAGATTTCATTCGGTTTCTTTCTTTCTTTTTTTTTTCTTTTTTGCTATAGGGTGTGTGCGCTTGCCAGACAGACAGAGAGAGACAGAGAGACAGAAAGCAAGAAATCACCCTCCAGGGTGGATGGTCACGCCGCAATCTCTTCTCCTCCATTCTCCTCTGGGGATCTTGAGCACACACGCACACGTGCCTGGCGTGAGTTTAAGTTGCCAGATCTGGGACTCGAACCATGGTCGATTACATGAGAGTCCAGCCACATAGCCATTACGCCAACTACTGGTCTTTCATTCAGTTTCTTATGCATTCCATTTCCAGCAGAACACTGAAATGAGCCCCAAGTATGAGCCGCACGGCAGGTTGAGTTACTGTGCTGGTCGCCTTGTGTGTTCTCCCAGCCCCCTGAAAGTACATGCATAATGGCTTGCTCAGAGATCTTCGGTCTGCTACAGTGCCACTAGAAAACGCTTACCTCCATGCGGGCAGCACCGCCCGTGCTAATTAGCAGTCAAATGATTATGGAGGAGCGATCATTCTTCTAGCACTATTACCTTTCTTATGATCCAGCGCCCACTTTATTGCACAGTGTAACGGGCATTAAACATCTTGGGATTGGTGCCAGTTAGAGACAATATGGCTATTTATTTTGGTAGCGAAGTACTGAAGAGGTTTGAAGACCATTTGGAGTCTTCCGATAGATAGAAACTCCTAAAGCTCCTACAATTAGATTGAAATATTTTGTATCTGTCAGACAGCACACAAGTCTTTAGGGAGCTGTGTATTCCCATCCCTTCTGTGACTTCGCCTCTGTATCCTGCCTCTGGTAACACGTACACAGAAGCATTAAGCTGAGAACTAGAGACTTTTTTTTTAATTCCAAGCACTTTTTATGGGAAAGTGGCATTTCTCCCACAGAGAGCAGGAGGAGGTATAACGATTTTTTTTTTTTAATTTAGTTTCCAAAGCACAAACATGAAAAAGTGAAGCCTTGGGGAGAGTAGGGGACAAAACAACCTATGTACCCCCCACCTCATACTGACATACACCCCTTCTTAATGCCTCTGAGGCCCCAGGGAAGAAGTAAGTGTAACCTCCCCAGATGTCACAGACTCTAAACCGCGATGTGCATGAAATGAGCCTTATAAGTTGGGAAACATTGATGATTCTGTTGTTTCTGCCACTGAGTAGCGATCACACGTTTCAGGGACAGAAAAGAACGAAGACTGCGAGCGCCATCTGGCGGCGAGGCGCGCCCATACCCACGTTCTCGGAGCACACCCGACCCCGTCATGTGTGTGCTATGCCTGATCCAGTGTGAGGATTAGCAGGGATTCCTGCGTTTCCTCCTGATGTCAGACACACTGGTGTTTGAGCGAGCCTAGACAGAGTTTTCAAACAGACACAGAAATAGTACCATCTTTCCCGAGACAGGCAGAAGCCGGAACTAAAACACATGGCGGAGTAATCAGCGATGTCTCCGTCGTGTGCCGAGCATGGCCTGGGCGCCGCGACGTAGACTAACTTAATACCACCGACACTCCTGTGGGATCGAGGCCTCCCTCCACCTAGTTTCAGAGTGAGAAGATGGGTCCGAATTCAGCAGCCCTCTGTGTTCACACAGCCTGTGAGAGGCAGGATTCCAAGGCCGCAGCCTGGCTCCAGGGTCCGCGCTGTGCCAGGGTCAGCCCCCCGCTTTAGTGCTGGTCCCTAGAGCCATGGATAAGGCGGAAGAAGCTGGAAACCGGACACCAAGGACTGGGTTCCGGTCATAACCGCTCCTCTAACCATGCAGCCCTGAACCGGCGACCTGGCTTCCCTGAGCCTCAGTTTACTCCCTTGCAAAATGGAAGCCAGAATGGAAACATCTTCCGGGATACCATGAGACTCTGCTGAAGGCCCCACGTCTGCAAGTGGGCTCTGTGAGCTCCGGAATGTTCTATGAGCTATAACCTGCCGGCAGGATCATTGGAGGGGTTGAATTGTGTAACCTGTTTCCCTCTCTTGAACGTTGCTCCTTATCCAGTCAGTGCTGGGTGACCGAGGGCTGGTCTGTCTGTGACTCAGAGTCCAAAGGTGGTGGGAACTTACACAGAGGGACCAGGTATCCTGGGGGACAGCTGGGCCTGTGCACCCTTGTGGACACAAAGAGACGGCTCTGGCTTTGGCTACATGTGAAATGGCAGCCACTAAAGAAGCAGGCCCTCCCTGTCCCTTCCTCTCATTAAAGCTAATGCCTTGCTTTCCCAAACAGAGGTCAGTCAGGAGCTCTCTGCTTAGCTTTGGAGAAGTCCCCTTGTCCTGCAGCCATGGTGGCCCGGTCTGACTGTATGCTGCCTCCTCCCACAGATCAATGCCCTGCAGAAAGGCTACAGCCAGGTGCTCTGCCAGACCCTGTCCGAGCGGAACTCAGAGATCACGTCTCTGAAGAATGAGGGTGAGACCCTAAAGAGGGACAACGCCATCACCTCAGGTGAGCACATTCTGGAGTCGGGCTTGGGTGCTGACATCCCCCGCTCTCCACACTCTTCTGCACCCACAACAGACATCAGTTATCAACCACCGCACTATTCTCTCACCCAGTTCTCAGCAGCCCTACAGGTAGCCACTGTCAGTAAAATGAGTTTTTCCTTGAGAGAGGTTGGTTTGCCATCCACTCCCTAGCAGCGGGCCTGGCTCAGAGTTAGCCCTCAATAACGGCTGAGCAATGCCATCTCTTAGCTGAAAGCCTACTGAGCCCTGACTGGCCAGGGACAAGGATGCGGTCCCATGAGCCAGTCAGTGGAACGCAAGCTGGAATGTGGACATAATGGGATCGCCACTTTAAGGCACTCAGCATCCCACCCATCTTGCCCCAGCTTGCTTGGGACTGAATGAGAACATTACTGTTAATTTACTGACAAAGGAAGTTCAGTATTAAAGAACTTGGGGGTGGGGGACAGCCAGCTCGTGGTCCGCACTTGCCAGGCACTGATGTTTCCTCGCCTGGATTCGTTTACTCACCTGGCACATTTATTGAGTGCCTACTAGGTTCAAGCAGTGCTCTAGACTGGGGAGAGAGCCCTGAGCCAACAGTCCGCTCGCAGTCACAGGAGAACAGGTACCGCGCAAGCGCGTTTCAGAGCACTCTCAGTGCTGCAAAGGAAACAACTGCTTCCAGGAGCAGAGGAGAGGGAGGACAGCTTAGCAGGTGGGAAGGACGGGTGTGTGAGGGGACCCCGTGCCAGGCAGCGAGCACACAAGTGCAAAGGGCCTGAGGCTGCAGGGTGCTGCTGGAGCTAGGTGGGCAGGACACAGGGGGTGGGTGGGGCTGAGGGGGAGGCGGGGCCAGGCCACAGGGAGGAGGCTGGGTTCCATTAGGTTCTGTTCTATTCTATTCTATTTTAAAACAGAAAATGACATGTCTAGAGATCCCAAGAGAATGGGGCCCTACACAGAAAAAGAGGGAGAGCAGCAGGTGGTGGGGAGGGACTGCTTGGATGAGCATCCTGCTCTCAAATACCCAGGACACAGCAGGAAACATGAGCCTAGCGCCGAGCAAGCCGAATCCCGGTCTCTGCGCATCCACACACTGCCCAGGCCAGCCCTCCTGCCGCCGCCCCCTGCTCACTCTGCAGTCCCCGGGCAGCCTTCTGCCTCTGCTCTCCCCCAACATGGAATGTCTTTGGATGCAAAGGGACATCAAAAGTTTTGTAGGAAAGTGGAATTAAAATATGAGTTTATTTTTGTACACACACAAAAAATCTGAAATCCACACACAGTTTTCTATGCTCCGCGTTGTCCACGAACCGGTATTTGCGCCTTTTATGGCAGCCAGAGAATGCAAGGTGGAGTTCACTGGGCCCCGTCCTCCTCTCCTTGGTCTGCCTGTCACATGTCTGCCATACTTCAAGCCTGTCTCAGACACCACCTTCCCCAACGAGGAAGCCGGACCGACCTGAATGTGGAGATGGTTTGGGGAGGGCTAGAGCGTCGCCACTCAGGTGTGGCTCTGGCCCAGCAGCATCAGTCCTATGATACCCGACAGCTGGTGATAAGTGCAGACCCACAGGCCCCCTTCAAGCCCTCTGAATCCGAATCTTCACTTTGACGAACACCCCAGGCGTCCCGTAGGCACACTCGAGTTTGAGAAGCACTAGGCTGGGTTATGCTGCGGTGACAAACAGGCCCCCAAGACTCAGAGTCTCACTCCCACTCTGTCGGGGCCATGCTGGATCAGTAGGGCCTCTGGTCGTTGCGTACTCTCAGCCACCCCCTGGCAAAGGCCTTCACAACACAGCCAAACTGTCGTCTACGTAGGAGGGCAGAACGGGTAACAGGGACTGGATTAACTCTCCTGCCTAAACTTTCAAGTCTAAACAGAAAAAAAAAA